ATTCATTATTATTAATAATTATTCATAATTTTGTCAAAATATTAAAAATAAATTTGTTTATTGCTAAATAAAGCACAGAGCATACTGTTGTATTTATTTCTAAATAAGTCTTGCATGTTTTAATTGATAAATTATTTAATTTTATCTATATAAAATTCAAATTAGGTAGGTAATACCAAATTCGAAAAGGTTTGTTAAATGCTGAATTTGATAAGTACAATTTTATGGCAAACTTTTTTTGAATTAAATCTAAATACCTATAATTTTAAAGGCAAAATAAAACACAGTTAACAGATTTTTTTATTATTTTAATATAAGCATAAAGGTAGATTTCGGAATGTACATGGTATTACCACGTCCTTTAATTTCGGCTTTCCCCTTTTTATTTTGTTAACAGTACCATCAGTAAAAATAGTCTCATAATATTTGGAAATATTTTCTAAAAGTGCAGAACAGCATTATCTCTAGAAAGTACTTTATCGGCCCTAGGAATGATATATATGCTGCCACTGTTCTAAGCGTTTAGGATCCTATAAAAAACATTTACAATGACAAAATTGGGGTTAAACAACAGTAACAACTCTTTATCTAACATTAAAACTATAAAAAAACTAGTTTTCTTTTAATATATAATTATTGTTGTTTCTAAGTCAGAATCTATGACTGTACAATTTTATTTTATAGAAACTTGTAATAAAATAAACTACAGTCCGTAAGATACATATTGTGACTAGTTTACAATAAATAATATATTTAGACACATTTACATTATTTTACTTACATTAGAAGCTCCTTGTGTTTTACATTTGATTTGTATCCGGTTTTACAATCTGGAACGAAGTTTTTTTTTGTTACTTATGTTACTTGTACTCAGGTACTTTTTTTACATTATTTTTGTTCTTTTCACCAATTTTTTAAAAAATCACTTTATTTTACATTGACTTACATAGAAAAGTGTCTATTGTCGATTCGCCTCCTTCTCTCTAGTCTTCATACCACTGCAATGGACATTAACTTATGCAACTAGTATTACAGTGGTTTGAAATTTATTTGGTTAATCTACCGGTTTTTCCTTTTTATTTGTTTCTCCTTCAAGACATTCAACATGTTTGGTTTTCGGTGCTTCACCTCATATTCATGCATATATAAAATATATCATTTTTCTTTGAATATCCTTTTAATGTATTTACACAAAATGTCACTATTGGCTGTAACTTATGAGGCATTCAAATAATTATGAAATAAGTAAATGTGAAGCTAACTATATAATAACTCAAGAAGTAATTTATGTCATGGCTTCAGCTTTATTGAAATTCATCACGAAATGCATTTTGGTATTACACGAGAGTATATCATAACATTTCCCAGATGAACTAAAATTGCTTTTAATACCATACATTAATTAAATTAAAATAGATTAAATGGTGATATAGCAAAGTAGGTTAGCATATGATCACTCAAGAACTAATTAGTAACATACATAACGAAAAGTGACTATTTAAACTTAATTTTTTATTTTATTTTTGAAAGTTTAAAATTAATTTTGACAACCAGCATGTAGTTTTTGAAGCACTAATTAACCAAATATAAAAATGTATTTAATTTTTTATATAATTTTTTGAAAATATTTTTTATTCCTAATACAACAATATATTTTATATTAACATTTTTAGTCGTTTTGATGGTATAGAATTATGATCAATAAAATTATGAGTACGGAACTGTTTATTTATATTTTATTAAGAAAAATCAATAGAGGTAAATAAAATAATAGAAATAAATCACATAACAATTTAATTTTAACCTTGTTAGTCGAATTGAATAAAAACAATTTTATAACATAAATGTAATCCAAATTCTAGTTTTGAAATCAATGTTGAATATGCCGTCCCCCATGTTCATAGCATAAATTAATTCTCCTAACTAGTTACCTGGCTTATAGTCCCATGGAATTTATATGTCTATGGCAAGTTGAAAAAAAAAACGGCCGCTATTTTTAACCGACTTCAAAAAAGGAGGAGGTTCTCAATTCGTCGTAATATATTTTTTCTGTATGTTTAGCGATAATGCTTTACCACCTTGTCCGATTTATATGATTCTTTTTTTGTTAGCGGTGGTCCCATATAAATTTGGTCAAAATCTAATAATTGGGTCCATGAAAAAATTCTCAAACTCTTAATTTTTTATGTATGTTTAGCGATAATGCTTTACCACCTTGTCCGATTTATATGATTCTTTTTGTTAGTAAGGGGGTACCTCAGGGGTGGTACCATATAAATTTGGTTAAGATGTGGTGATGGCATCTGCACGTTTTTGAAGTCGGTTTTTTAAAATTTTTAATTTCTAATACTTGTTGAGATACGTGCAATAACTGAACAGATCAAAATGTCGGCCACATTTTGGCAACTTGCCATTGTCAAAATCTCCGGGACTTTTAGTATGTCATATAGAGCCATATTATTCATACGTTTCCGCTTATAAACATTTGTATCAGTGAGCATCATAAGTCTTACCCCCCCCCCCCTAACTAACTCGTTACTGAGATCTCATTAGGAAAATCGCCGAGACAGGTCGATTTTTGATTTCTACAATGTACATTTTTGCATGAGTAGTTTACCCTTAATTTCATCCCTTTCTGGAGGGTAGCAACCCTTTCGAAAAATTTAAATGGCATGGGGTGGTGAGTGATAGCTCATTTGAAAGGGAGTTTTATTCTCTATTCAACCGTGTAAAAAATTTCGAAATTTGCTTCATTACGTGTTGATTTATTAATGTTTAAAAATAACAAAACCTCACAAAATAGGAAAGCAACTAGACTAACAATGACCTTCTAATGGCAAAAAGTCTTACTTCACGTCTGAACCAAAACCGAAATCATGCAGGGCCGAATTTTAATTCTAAGGATGAGTGCGCTACGTTAATTTCTGTTATTCTGCAACAACAATTAGTCGAGAATTAATGAAGCAAATTTCAAAATTTTTTACACGGTTGAATAGAGAATAAAACCCTCTTTCAAATGAGCTATCACTCACCACCCCATGCTATTTAAATGTTTCGAAAGGGTTGCTCCCCTCCAGTAAGGGATGAAATTAAGGGTAAACTATTCATACAAAAATGTACATTGTAGAAATCAAAAATCGACGTGTCTCGGCGATTTTCTTAACAAGACTCCAGTAACGAGTTAGATAGGGTGGGTAAGACTTATGGTGCTCACTGTATAATTTTTTGAAAGGCTGAACCTAAATTCCGAGAACTTGCCTACACTATTATTTTGATAGTGTTATCGTGACAGGTTAACAATATTCTGGAAGGCGTTTCTAATTCTTCTTTCTAGTTCTTCTACATTTTGAAGAATACCATTACAATAAACAAGGTTTTTTTAAGTAGATAACCCCGCAATTGGTTATTTATGTGGTAAGTGCAGAGCCGCCGAGAGCCAGGTCGGGCTCCGCGACAATGTTCCAGGTCGGGCCCCGCGATAATTGTATAAAAAATTAAGCCCTTTCAATATCACATTTCAAAAAAAAAAAAAAGTTTTCAAGCAAAAACTTCTACTCCTCTTTAGCGAAAGAAGTGTGTAAAGTGGCCTTTGTTTTTGACGAATGCGACAATCACATAAGTCAAAAATAGGCCTTTACACACGAATTGTATACAATATGTTTTACATTACCGTACATATTGTCCATCAAGATTAGAAATACAAAAGTTACTTTACGCTCTAGTGTATAAAGTACGAACATAAATTTTTATTTGAAGTTTACAACATATTTAATTCTTACGAAACAAAATAACAATAACAAATGTTCAATAAAAAATGTATTTGTCTAAAGCATAAATGATAATTTAAAATAAAATGTTCTATTTTTTGACATATTTTGTTATCACAAGCATCACTCATTTTTAATTATATTTAATCTCAATAAAAAAATATGTACTGACAATTATTTTGACAGAGTTGTCACTTATTTAAAATTTAAAACAATAATAGTTGTATGGTGACCAAATATGAACCGTAATTGGTGGATTTTATATTTTTCTACACCCACATGGATATTACCTTGTCTACGCACAGATTACAATACAAAAAAGTATGCTATTGCCTTCAACTGAACGAATATATTTCATATCCATTCTAGGTAGTGAGCTAGTGAGAACACTGCAAAAAATTAAATCCGCCAATCACTGTTCATATTTTGATCAAACGACTGCTATTATTTTTAAAATTTTAAATAAATGACAATTCTGTCAAACTAATTGTCAGTATATTTTTTAGTTATTGAGATTAAACATAATAGCATTATAATTATAATAAATAATAGCATTTCTTTTTTTATTTCGTCTATGATTATAAATAATTTGTTAATTTAAATAAAACTATATGAAGTCAATTTAATTACGAGTATTAAAACATCAAAAATAAAAGAGTAGGTGGTCTTGTGGTTAGCGTTCTTGCCTTCCACGCAGAGGATTGGAGTTCAATTTTCGTATGGGGAAAAAACTTTTTTTTTTTTAAAAATTTTAAAAATTATTAAAAGTCACAAATTATTTTAAAATTAGTTATTTTGTCTTAATAACCTAAAATATTTTTTTTATTTGTAAATTTTCGTTAGTGGGTCGTAGAAAAAATATACTGTACAACTCGAGTGGATTGTCCATATTCACTCTTATTACACAAACTGCTATTGTGCACTAGTGCAATGTTCTTACTTAGTAAAATGGATATGAAAGATATTCGTTCAGTTGAACGTGTGTAGAATAGCTCTAATATCCATGTGGGAGTAAAAAATACTTTTCTTGACCCTCAAAGCGTGATCATGGCCGTTGCTCTTCTGTCTTCGATTTTAAAGTAATAGTCTTTTGATCAGATTTTTCCTGATTTTTGTAAACCATAAAAACGGCGGATTTGCAGATTTGGATTTGAAATTTACGTAAAAAGCCTTGTTTTTATTCACTCGAATTTTTAATTTATGACTAATACTTTTTATGTGTTTCTTTTTTAGATGGAGGAACTATGTTGGGGGCAATGGCTGGCCTCGGAGTCATTCTTCTCGTCTTTCTTTTATACATAAAGAACAAAGGATTGTTGTGGTGGACACCTGCAAGAGGCATCTCATGTTGCGAAGAGGCCTGCCCCCCAATTTCTTCACGACCTGTACCATCACCTTCTGTGCCTAATTCAATATCCAATATTTCCCCTAAAAGCAAACTGGGTAAGAAAAGTTCAAATAAATTATAATTCATACGTGTTATAAAACATAGTATTATAAAAAACGGAAAGTTTAACTTTTATTTTACTCACTCTATTGGGTATTAGATAAAAGGATTCATAATAAAAACATAGACTTAAAATACCCAGAATTGGTGGTGGGCATACATTTCACTTGATGTCAAACAACCAAGAATATTATGAGGATGGACGCATAAAAAAAGTCGAGTATCAAAGTTAAAATTCTACATATAACCGTCTACTTTTGAATTAAAAATAAACTGTAAAAAATAGTGTGAACAACTTCATTAAACTGTTGCGAGTTCTGCCCACCAGAGATATTACGTTAATGGTAAATGCCCAATTAGAATGAGGGCCGTTTTAAACATAAAATGTAACGATTTATTTTCACTTACAATAAACCTCTTTGGGCAATTTCAGCAATATTATTATAAGCAATATTATTATAAGCAATATTATAATAATTAAAAAAGTACAATTACAAGTCTTGAACCAAAAATTTGACGTTTGGGTCAAATTTGGCCTCATTCCTAACACAAGATTTCTTCAAATGGAATATCAAAAAATGGCTTTCTATTAGACCACTCAATAAATAATGTCCTGTTGATGTTTACTTCTCTGTATTGTATTGGTTATACGACCATCTTCCACTTCTAGATACTTCTAAACATATTGTGATGCGAAAGCCGTCTCTGTTAGTTGTCCGCGGTATAAACTTTAGCGCTAAAAATTATAGAGACAAACGCACTGCTTCGAAAAACTACCGGATTGATCCCTTTGCGGCGTATGAGTCATAGAAAGGCAGTTTTCGATCGTTCTGGAAAGCCGAGAGAGTTCTAGTACATAGATGGGGCTTTATATAAAATTTAAGTACTGTATAGAAAAGCTAAATTGTAATAAATAAATTAGAATTGTGAGTTATAATAGTGCCAAAGTATTATATAAATTAATTAATACGTAATAAATACATTGTAAATAAAGTGTTTTAAATAAATAAACTATAAATAAATTAAACAAACGTTACATTGGTGTTAGAAGTGGAACTGTAAATAAATAATGGACAATAATGGCTAAAAAACTGTTCGATTTAAAAGTGAATTGCATCTAGGACTAGAGGACCGTGATCTGGAAGAAAGCAGAATTGGTAGAGGGGCTTAAAGTAGCACTAGAATGTGAAGGTTTGGTTTTGGAAACTTATCTATTTTCTGATAATGCGTCTTCTATAATTTCTTCAATTTCCAATATGAAAAAGGATATGTCTTCTTTAAAAACCGAAATTTCTTCCGACTTGGAAAACGAAATGTCTTCTATGGAAAATAAATTTTCGTCTAAAAAACGAAATTTTGCTGATGTGGAAAATACGATGACTTCCGTTGAGGAGAAAATAAAATAGATGGAGAAGAAAATAGAAGAACTAGAACATACAGAACAAGCCAAGGACGGTGAAATAAAGTGCCAAGAGTTAAAGTTGAAATTGGAAGGAGCTGTAAACTCTGCTCGTGTTAAAGCCCCAACTTTCGACGGGAAGATGTCATGGACGAACTACCTTGAACAGTTCGAAACAGCTGCCAGAGCAAACGAATGGTCTGAACGAGAGAAGACAGTGAATTTGACCATCGCTCTTCGAGGAGACGCTTTAGATGTCCTTCAGACTATACCCGTGGAAGAGACAGATGATTTCGAACAACTCAAAAAGAGACTAAATATGCGATATGGCCACGAACACTTGGAGCATTTATACTAGTCACAGTTACAGAATCGCCAACAGAAACGAAACGAGACTCTTGAAGAACATGAAGTAGATATTGCTAGGTTGGTGCAATTTGCCTACCCATCAGCTCCAGAAAACATGATGGAATGTTTGGTAGTCCAAACATTTGTTGATGGACTTCGTGACCACGAGATGCAGAAAACACTCCGCTTAGCTCGTTACAAAACATTAATCGATGTCTTGTCCGCTGTTTTAGAGTATGAGGCAGCTACACATGCTTCTGGTGGATACTGTAAAGTGAAGATTGTAAAAGAAGAAGAAGAAGAAGAAGAAGAAGAAGAAGAAGAAGAAGAAGAAGAAGGGGAAGATAAACTCGACCAATTGGTTAACATGATGAAAAGCCTTACTGATAAAAAGATGAAGACAAAGACCATCAGGTACTGGAATTGCGGTGAACTGGGACATGTACGCAGTTCATGCAAACGCTCTCCCAACAACTGAAAATAACACGCCGCAGGAAAACTAGAGCGGGTCACCATTCCAAAGACCCTCTCTTTGTTATGAATTTATGTAAGACAGGTACATTTCTTTAAAATAAAGTTTCTTTGCTCATTCTACTTTATCATATATCTTATTCTTATTTTAGTTGCAATACTAAATAAACTAAATGTTCTTAAAATGTGTGCAATATTTGTACTTATACAATAACTTTTCTACTTTCGCTTCATAAAAACCATAACCTTTAAAAATGAAGTAATGTTACAGTTCTTTATTCTCGCCAATGTCGCGTTACTTGTATTTATATATGTAGATGCCACGTGACGTCATATCATGTGACAAGGATAGAGCTACTAGGCGCAGGAACATACCGGTATTTGTGTACCGTGAATCTACGAGTACTTTTCAATCTCACCAACAAAGAAACGAATGTCTTGAGCAAATGCAGAAGAAAGAGGAATATTTAGTTGGCACTAACACCAAATTCAGTGTAAAAAGTTTTTATTTATTTTACGTCGCTGTCCAATTTCTCTTTAACAAGGAGAGTCTTTCTATAGGAGGTTTATTATGAACGCCAGGAATTTTCACATAACGATGGCTAAGAGCACAAATGTTGTATGTCCAAAAATATCGTTTTGAGTAAAATAGATTTGAAAGTTGGAGGTGACTATGACGAACTGTATAATTTTTATTAGCATTACTTTACTGAATGGTAACCTAACCTATTTAGGTGGACTTACTAAATTTGGAAAACAAGGATTTTATCATAAATTTTCGACAAAAATGGATATACAATATTTGTGCTATTAACCATCGAAACTACAATATCGAGGGCTTTATATGTCAGCATAGCATGTTTTATTCAAAATTTATGTCTTTCAACTTGACCTCGAGCCGTACTTTTATTGAACCGTTAAATTTTCTTTTCCAAATTAATCAATATCAGTTGTTTCTATTTACAGTTGTAGTAACCTGATCGATAGGAAATTTAAATATTTGAATAGTTTTCCAAGTAGAACTAATTGTATATGTATACAGGTTGTATGTTTGAGTCTGTGAAAACTCTATACAATATGAGTCATCGTTCTACAAAATTCGCCAATTGTTCTTTAGCCTTGGTCGAATATAAAATAAAGGGTCTACCAATAGGAGTGATAGAATTTTCGAAGGTCATATGCGTACAATGTTGATTGCGATAACAAGAAGCAAGCGTTGTTTGTGTTCAGTATACTCCGACATTTCACCATGAATCGACTAAGTAAAAAGCAACATTTAGTTATTGTTCAGAGGTATTATGAAAATGGGCGATCGGTTAGAGCTTGTCATCGTGCTCTTCGTGAAGATTTTTGTCAACATGGACGACCTTCTGAGCTCGCTATCAGGCGCACAATTGCCAAGTATGAACGGGATTACACTCTCTTGGATAGTAAACCACCGACAAGACGAAGAACTGCAAGGAGTGCTAAAAATATCGCTGCAGTAAGGGAAAGCGTGAACGCAAATGCATATGTATCCATTGTGCGCCGTTCTCAGCAACAAGGCATTTCAGCAATGTCAACATGGCGTATTTTGAAGAAAGATTTGGACCTACATCCATATAAGATGGTTATAACGCAAGAACTGCAGCCTGCCGGACATGCTTTGCGGAGAATGTTTACCGATTGGGCACTTTTGCAGTTAGAAGAAAATTCTGATTTTGGTAAACAAATCATCTTTTCAGATGAAGCCCATTTTTGGCTTAATGGCTTTGTGAATACGCAAAATTCATTTTAGGTAGTGGGAACACTGCAAAATATGAAATCCATCAATTATTACAACTCATATTTTGGTCACCGAACAATAGGTTGCCAGATCAATGCCGAACAACCAATATTTTTAAAATTTTAAATGAGTGACATTTCTGTCAAATTAATTTTCAGTAATTTTTTAGTTATTAATATTAAAATATACTTTAAAATGAGTTATTTTTGTTTAGAATCGATACATAGTAGCATTTCTATTTTTGTTTCGTCCACACTTTAAAATTTTATTCAAACTATGAAACTAATTTAATGGGCCATGTTCACATGTGAGATATGCTGTTTTATAAATTATATTATAATAGTTAGTCGCTATACAAGTTATTCTAAATAATCAGTTCGTTAAAAAAGCCAAAAGTTTTTAAATTAAGCCCAATTGAAATTTAAAATTTGAAATTATACGTCATCGGGAATAGACCAATCAGCTTGTGTCGAAGTTTTTTTTGTTATACAAAACCAAGCCAACGAACAAACCGACACACAGAATGTCGAAGTGAACGCACATCTAAGTGACACTAGGTCTTTTCCTTTGCATCGAAAGTGGCGCACTGAGCTACACCACTTCTGAAAATATCGTTCCATTTATACAAATTGTATGGATGGAAGGACATATTCAGAAGTGACGTAGCTCAGTGCTACACTGTGGATGCAAAGGAAAAGACCTATTAAAATTGACACCACCCTAACCTAACATTTTGTCAGCTGGATTTATAAAAGTTGAATCAAGTGTTTTACCCATTGCAAATAAACCAAAATATGATTACCGAGATGATTACTGCATTTTTTAACAATACTCAGTTTACAGAAGACAGAAAGGTAAGACTTTATTTATAATTTGTTTTAAGTAGGTATTTACAGTTTATATGGAGCAATACACCTTATAGTAAAACATTTATCTCAGGTCATTAGGATTATCGAAAGCATGTTTACCTCAAAAATTAAAACTAAATGGGGTCTATTCTGTAACAATTCCTT